GAATCTTCGGAAGGCTGGCATCGACACGCATATTATGCCGACGTTGATCTCGAGAATGGAGTATACGCCGGACATGAGGTTGTCGTACATGGGATTCGTTGATGTGGCGTATTTGGCGACGGCGCTGAGGCGGATGCAGGAGACTATGATGGTGCTGAGATATATTTGTTAGCATGCGGCGATACTTTACTAAGTGAATGGGTTGTCTCACATGCCACCGACGCCAAAGATCGCGCTGAGGAAGACCTTTTTACGCGAACTGAGCTTCAGCGTCATCAGGTTTGGAATCGGTATCAGGACGATGGCGACGTCCAGACCGATGTTGAACGCCGCTGCTACCAGGTAGAACAGATTCTGGTTGATACAGTAGTCCGGTGTGCTCGTGCCATCCCATGAAGTCCATACTGCGGAGATAGGTCTGCAGGCAAAGGTCATCGTGAATGCGAATGCGATGGTCCAGAGCACTGATATGACGATAAACACCCAGATCCATTTTCGGGTCGTCTCCGAGGGAAAGATGCGGAGGAAGAAGAATAGGAAGGCAAGCTTGGTGAGTCCACAGCAGAGGAAGTAGGATATTTGGGAGCCGTAGGTCAGCTGTCAAGCAGTCAGTAGTCATCCAAACACATTGAGTGTTGTGTGCTTACCCTCAAAACCTTGTAGATATCGCTGTGAGGAACTACCCAAGTGTCTTTCCCGAAACCCAGCTTTGGCGTGTAGCATTGTATCACCGTCACTGGGAGACACGCTGCTTCGGCTGCGATTGCAAAGACATCATCTAGCCCGAACGAGTTCTGACTGATTGCGGACCACGTGCGGACGGTGACGGCGGCGAGAGCAACGGAACCCGCAGTGATGCCCGTCAAGAATATGACGTTGGATCGGTCGCGAACAGGCCTCTCGCACATGGTGGAAGTGACATTGACAGCAGCTATTGTTCGCCTCAGGTCAGCGCGGTTGATGGATAGTCTGGTGGATTCTTACTGAGAGACTCTTTGACTGAACATGCGCCACCCACGCAGGTCTGGATGGCCGCGTTTATGGATTCACTTTCACAGATACATTGCACATCAGTGGGTGCGCATGTTCTTTGGGCAGTGACAACATTCTGGAAGCATTTTGCCTAGTACTGTCAATGGTAGACTCTCATAGAAGTGGAGGAGGAACCAGGACTTACTGCGCATGGCGGTAGCATGTTCAAACCATCTTGTGCTAGAGCTGTATGCACAACACTACTCAATGTTGTGAGCCCTATGACGAGCACCTCGTTCCACCGCATGTTGAGTACTAAGAAATATCCAAGAAGGCGAGCCACAAATACGACGACCTGTCGATCCTCGTTCAATGATCAGTGATACATATAGTATACGATGGTGGTGAAAAAGCAGAAGGAAGGCAGCCATGGCCAAATGCCATCCCGAATCTTGGGTATCATCAGCACGTTTCCGTACATCCTTACCAACATCCCGGTATTCGATATCCCAGTTGATATTCAGGAGAATTTGTTTCTGCTTGACCTGCGTAGGATTCGAGGCGAACTCTACCGAGCAGGCTGCATGACAGACGTGCCGTCCCAGGCGGCTCGGCATCCGGACACTACCGAAACGGTTAATGGGATCAGAAACCTAGCTGAATTGAGTCCTCGCCGAAGTACATATCGATGCGGAAGTTGTTTTGTGAAAATGTAGTAAGCCGCGTAGTGAGTAATCCGATCAATTCTTAGAGTGCGTGGCTACGCCAGTGTACAAAGGCCCGAATGCCTACTACACGGCGTTACCCTCACGACCATAGTATTCCTGGTGGCCTGGGAAAAAAGATGGAGAGGCGTTCAAGGTTGTGCATCCACCATCGCGGTTTCAGATCCTATTGGCTCCCCGCGGAAGTCCAGATATCCACACAACGTCAAATTGATAGTCTAGACGTTGTTGCAAGCTAAGAAGCGGCTCTTGGGCTTGCGCATTTGTAGACTATAGTCTCATGCCTCCTGATTATGCATCTCTGGCGTAATTGAGGCGGCATTGGGGGACGGTAGGTGTGTGGAGGGCCGGCTTCGCTTCGCTTCGTGGCAGCGTGGGGAGACTGTAGACAAACACACGAGTAAGCTGCGTCGATGGTCGACAGCAAAGTTAGAGAAATCACAAGTCATGCAGAACTCTGGAGACGGCAGGCGGGATAGGCGACACGGGACGGCGGCTGAGCCTGCTATGAACAGGGTGTTGCGATTAGGGTGCTGCCGTGGACACCCTTGCAAAAGCAACCCCCATTCGACCATTCCGAGCGCGGCAGCATCCTTCCGACTCCCCGCCACATGGCAATGAGAAAAAGCGATGCTGGACAGTCTGGACACATCAAATTGAACAACGAATAGTTCGTGGGTCTTCTAAGCGACTCTTGTTCAGCTGGCGAAGCTGAGAATATCATGAGTTTGCTTTTGCGACTCGTGTAAAGCGCACACCATGGCCAGAACGCGAGGGTCTGCGGTACGCCCCGGCACTTGCAGCGTGCCCACAGTAGAGAGACCCGCATTTCGGCATCGTCTCTCCTTTCAGTATACTGGGACGGCCTGTTCGAGTCGTAGCTCGCTATCGGGGGCCTGAAAGGATTGGCTGCAGAGTGCTGCAGTTACCGATGAGCGACGATGGAAGATAATTCCGTCTGTCCCCTCCACCATCGTTCGCGTGGTGTTTCTGTCCTTCAACGTCGGGATATGCAACATGACGCTTCTACATGATGTTTTTCTGGGTGCACATCTTCGATCTGTCCTCTTGATCTACCTTTCTACATCTTTCGTCTCATACTATCTCGTCTGGACCATCTATACTCGAACCCTCCATCCACTAGCCAAGGTTCCAGGACCATTCTGGGCATCGGTATCACGAACATGGCTTATGTGGCACCATCACAAAGGCGACATTGAGATTATCGAGCGCGTTCTTCACCAGAAATATGGCCCCATCATTCGAATCGCACCCGATGAGGTAGTGACGACCGACACCACGGCCATTCCACACATCTACCCGGTTCAAAAGGCCCTACAAAAGACGGATTGGTACAATCCATGGCGACCATCAGGACTAAACAGCCAGCCGGACTTGTTCACGCAGACCAACGAGAAAGCGCACGCAGCGTATCGAAGGATTGTTGGAGGTGTCTATTCCCTTTCCAGCATACTGAAAAACGAACCGAATCTGGATGCGACCTTGGAACTCTTTCTTGAACGATTGGGTAGCTTCGCCGATAGCAACGAAGTATTTGACTTTGGTCTTTGGCTCGAGATGTAAGTTACAAATTAGCTTTCACCGATTTCACAGTCTAACTTGTGGATTAGGTACTCGTTTGACAGCGTCGGTGTCGCCTTCTTCGGTCAAGCCTTTGGTTTTCTCAAGGACAGCATCGATTACAACAACTACATCCACTCGGTCCATCTTGCAATGCCATTTCTTACCCTTCTAACAGTCACTCCGTACTACATCCGACCGTTCCTGCTTCTGGTAGCTGTGTGCATCCCGAGCTTACTGAAGGCTGTGCTGGCTGTGGAGGATATCAAGAAGACTGCGATTATAGAGACGAAGACAGCTACCGAGAGAACCCTTGAAGTGACGGGAAAGCGGCCCGACTTACTTTCTCAGCTGCTGGCGATTGTGCAAGAAAAGGGAGAGAAAGTCAACTACTCGCACAGAGAGATCACATCGGACATGTGGGTTGCAATGTATGTGCACTGACAGAACAGCTACCCTGGAGTATCATGCTGACTGTTATTAGCATGGCTGGAGCTGATAGCACGTCCATCGCAATGCGCTCCGTTTTCTACTTCTTGATGAAGAACCCTGAGAAACTGGAAAAGGCGCGCGCAGAAGTCGATACGGCCTTTGAGAACGGCACCCTCTCATCCCCAGTACAGTACAGTCAGGTATCTTCTCTTCCATACCTCGTAGCGACTGTAAAGGAAGCCCTGAGATTATTCTCTCCGTTCTCGGTATCGATGCCTCGGTACGCCCCGAACGAAGGAATCACTCTGTGCGGGAAGTACATCCCAGCAGGCTACACAGTTGGAATGAACCCTTCAATCGTTTCGCACGACAAAGACGTATTTGGAAAAGATGCGCTAGACTTCGTTCCCGAGCGATGGCTGCAGAGTGAAGATCGTACGCGGGCGATGGACAAGACAATCCTAGGTTGGGGTGCTGGAACAAGGACATGCGTTGGAAGGCCTGTGAGTGCACCGTGATCACAAAGTAGAAAAGTACTGACAATACACAGCTCGCTTTGACACAAATCTACAAAGTGACTGCCGAGGTATTGCATCGGTTCGACTTTGAGATGGCACATGACAAGCCATGGAAAACGCACAATGCTTCTTTCAATGTCCAGACCGGTGTTGAGTGCAGGTTCAAGCGAAGAGGTTCGACCAGACCTTAGTTGCTCAGATATAGTCAGTATTTCGGTTACGCAAGCAAGACCGTCGCAGTCTGAGTATAGACGAGACCGGACACACGTAGTTATCGCCGCAGTCGAAATGCACAATCAGAAGTTGTATGCAGTGTACTGAGCTTTTCCTCTCGTGTGCGATTAGACCTTGAAAGACCGCTTTTAGCAGCTTTTGGTGTTGTGTTGGTCCAAAGAAAGTTCAGGCCTCCTTATGGTTGCCAAAATTAATGAGAAAATCATGTTAGAGAAGACGCCGACAATGACCTAGTTGAAGATGCATTGTCTTTGGCGGTCGGCTTTTGCTTCCCCAAGAAGAGACCTCGGGATGCAGGGTTCGGTGTTTTACCCAATCAAAAGTCATCATGACGTCAACCTCTGTTCATGGTCCCATGTGCATTCTCAAAACTTCGCCATTTGAGACGCCGATAACATTTCCTGAACGGCGATTATCATCGGCGACTTCTACAAGCAACTAAGATTAAAAGCAAGGATAGATTTCATATCTCCAAGGCCTTACCAGTCGTAGCATCAGTCAACACTGAGAACCAATATCTCCCAGAACACAACACAACATGGACTCGCTTCCCGTAAACAACAAGACGGCCGGTGAACCTGAGAGTGCATACAACAACACACTTGAAACCGGTGCTGGTATGACTCAGGTAAGCATAATCTCGCTCGTATAGTGACTACGCTAACCAATTGTACAGAACTTCGCGCCAGTCAAGAGGATATGCGCTCACCTCAACGCCTTCCACGCATACGCTCACGACCCCAAGCGCGATGCAGTCGAAGCAAACCACTACTGCGCGCACCTGAACGATGAAGTACGCCAATGCATCCTCTACGACTCTCCCGAGAAAGGCGCGCGGATTATCGGCATCGGTAAGCATCCTACTTCCTGAACCGCAAAATCTCATACTAAACCAATAACAGAGTACATGATCTCCCCCAAACTCTACTCAACCCTCGACGCCGAAGAGCAAAAGCTCTGGCACTCCCACGTCTTCGAAGTAAAGTCCGGAATGCTAATCATGCCGCGTCCAACCGGCGTACCAGAAGCCGCATGGGAGGTAGCCGAGAACAAAGAGATGGAAGAAGTTGTCGAGCTGTACGGCAAGATCTACCATCTCTGGCAGACTGACCGTGGTGACAAGTTGCCGCTTGGACCCCCACAGCTGATGACGAGTTATACGGCCGCGGATCAGATGCCGGATTTTGAGAAGAGGTTGAAGGAGAGGGATCAGCGCTTTGATAGCGATTATCAGAGGAAGAAGGGGGTGAGGGAGTATATTGAGGTGCCGAAGATTCATGAGAATGCTGATGCGACGTGGGCTAAGGGAGGTGTTGGTCATTAGACGAGCATTGATGGAGAGGATGGTGGTGTGAATCAGGCATTCTTGAGGCGTTGGCGATGCATGTTGAAAGATGAGGGGAGGGGGGTAGGCAAGAACTGCATGTAACATAGGTGGGCCAAAGCTGTTTCGCTGAATCGATGTTAAGTTATGCTAAAGTTACACAATACTAAGTACATAGGTAAGAAGCAACATGCTGCTGAAGAAAACAACGTAGCAAACACTCGAGCTCCCCTCGTCTCTCCATCGAGTCTAGAGCCAGCTCTAAACCCATACCTCACACCTTCTCGTCCACGCAATATTCAAACCCTAAGACAATATCAACACTAATGACCAATGACACCCGTTCGTTAAGTATCCATCACGATCGATCCTGGGTGTTAATTCTGGGAGGGTGGACTGGGAGTGTGGTGCAGAAGGCTCCTCATGTTCGATTTCCTCGGAGGCTGCTTTCCTTCTGTATCTCCAGTGTTCCGTCGCCTTGTTGGTCGTGTATCATCATCCTCCGATGGTGGACTATGTCTTGGCCTTCCGGATGGGTTGGCGGTTGTAGCGCCCATTGGGGTTGCCTGATAAGTCGGTTCTCGAATCGGACGTGGGGTTATGTATAGAGTTTCAAGAGGCTGAGTAACAGCCGCGTACGGGTCCGAATCTGAGGCTGTCTGTTGCTGACGCGGAGTTTCAGGAAATGCTCTGCGTGCGTCATATCCAGGTCGACTTGCGTCATAGGGATGTGAGTCTTGCTGTGAACCATAGGTAGCAGTTTGACGGGGAACATATCCTTGAGGGTGATGTGGAGCATATTCTTCAGCGTAACCTAGCTCGAGTCTAGGTGGGGGTTGCTGGAAGGCACGTGGAGGTTGAGCTTGCTGTGTGAACTGTCCAGGTGGGGGGTTCTGTGACACAGGCGCACGCGGCTGTTGCCGTGTAGACTGCCGGGAGCGACCTGCTTGAGTAGGCGGCAAGTCCCATGTATGTGCTCTTGCAGGTGGAGGGGGATCAAGAATCGACCGCATTTCTGATCGTGGCTGTGGGGGCTTCCGGGAGCTACCTGCTTGAGTAGGCGGCAAGTCCCATGTATGTGCTCTCGCTGGAGCTTGGGAGGCATTAGGAATCGACGATATGGGTGCTGGTTGTTGCTGCGGGGGCTGCTGCGCATCGTAGGGATGAGGATTGTGTGCGTCGTAGTGATGTGGGCGCAGCTGTGAATCATAGGGAGTAGCATGGTGGGGAGGATGTTCTTGAGTGTGGTGTGAATCATGTTTTTCGATGAGGCGTGTAGCATGTTTTTTTTGGTTGCGTGGAGCAGGTTCTTCATTGTTATGGGTAGGAAGTTCTTGATACCAGTGTGAGGTAGGTCTGGTCGGAGGACGTCCGGTCGGAGGATGCTGTGAATACTGCGTAGATGGGTCGTAATGTTCAAATGTGAAGGCCGGGGCAGCCGGGGCAGCCGGGGCAGGCTTTTGGACTGGTGGTGGCTTATAAGCGGCTCGCGCGGCATCGTCTTTAGCCTTTTGCGCTGCATACCATCGTTTTTTTTGTTCGTCGGTCACTACCCTCTTCGGCTTCTGCTTATCACCATCCTTTCCCCCGGAACCCTTACCCTTATCTGGTACTCCGCTCATGATGTAGACTTATATAAGAGAGGCTTGGGCTGTGAAATGTGTTTGACTAGAAGTATATACGGCCGTTGAGCGTAGTGTCTTATGAAGCTGGAATGTTGGTCAAGTTCGTTGTCGATATAGTCGAATGATGCTGTAAATGGTAGTGTGTGTATGCGTTGTCTGTGAGGTCTAAGGAAGAGTAAGTGTAAGTGCTGGGGCGGCTACTTATAGCCACCAATGCATCGTGGGTTCTTCACAGGACGAAGCATTGCGTGCTTGCAGTATGTGATTGTGTATGCGTGATATTGATATCCAGTCGTTCAACTCCGAGCCTAGGTCCCATATCTGCAATGTCTACATTGTACATTGAAGAGCATACCGGAAGGTTGCGTGATCCTTATGCTACATTAGCTTCCGCACAGAGCCACAGGTGAGGGGTTATACCGAATCTCGTTCGCTCTTCACACATCAGGCCTTTGACAGGCGAACCAGTGGCTGGATAGGTGAAGGCCTCAGTATGAGCATGCGGATCGCGCACAAACACTGTCGTATCCGTAGCTCAGTCCGTTTCTGAAGGCGCCCGTAATGACGGCAATCATCTTGGCCAGCATCTCATGTTGACTCTGTTGTGTTTTGCACGACCTCGATGCTCGCAGGATCTCTCTTCTCGCGCCCCATCAGCTTGCCCAACACATCCTTTTCCTTATCGCTGTCTTCCGCATCGCTCGCGCTGTCCTTGTCGCTGTCCGCGTTCGGGTCTTTTTCTTCGAGAACACCTAGTCCGAGGTCCTAGACACTGTCAGCAGCGCCCTACGATACCATCAAGATCCATTACTCACCATCTCAATATACGGCTCGCCCTCGTCCTGTCCCTCTACAGATTCCAGACTCTTCAGCGTCCCGGCCTTCTTCTGCGCCTCCAGCTCCTCGTTCGCAGCCTTCAACTGCGGCAGAAAGTCTTTGAGGAAGCCGCGAATGTCTGGTCCTAGATCTTCGTTGCCCAACTTCATAATCGGCTTCGTGCCTCTGTTGGCGCGGAGGTTTACGACGCCATCTTGTGATTGTGGCTCTTCAAGCTCCATCTCTGTGTCCTCGCCATCGTCGTCTTCCTCCTCGCTTGAGCTCTCGTCGCTGCTGGGCTCTTCGCTCGATTCGGATAGTTCGCTGTCGCTATCCGAGGTGCCAAAGTCGCTTGCATTCGTGGTAGAATCGTCTGCAGCGTTTGTCGACGCGAGGGCGGAGTCAGAGGATATCGAGGGCGGCGAGGACTCAGGCTCGTTGGAGAAGCGCACGCGTTTGCTGCGGTGCGCGACGGCTTCGTGGACGTATGGCGACATAATTCCTCCGTGGTGTTCGATATGGGTAATCTTAGGAGAGACGGTTAAGGACGTCTACGCGTTTGGAAGTGGGTTACAAAAGTCTGGGGAAAAAGTTGGCCAAGATTCAAAGTTTCGCGCAGACGGGTGCAGATCTCGCGCCAGGTAGCGAGCCGGAGAGGACCCTTGGCTACGTCACCGCCCTCTCCAGCACATGGCGCCGACAGCCAATGCCAACCAGATATGCACACATGACATGTTCAAGTACATCTGTAATAATGGGATATCCCGTCAGATGCTCCACAGTCCAAGGCGTGCGGCTGCAGATTGGCCTGAGGCAGAAGCGACTCGTTGGTGTCAGCAGGGGTCGTGAAACGGCGTCTTGAAACGTAGTTAGAGCGGGCGCCTGCATGGCTGACTTGTGCTGTCCGAGGGGTTAAGCCTCTTAAAGCTCCAGCTGGCCTCGTACATATCCGACCTCACCCCTTCTCGTCAATCTTTACAGTCTCGCTGCTGTGACCCTCCTCTCTACCTGTTCTCATAGCTTTTGTGACGCTGTCTGCAAGAGTCGGTGTGTCGCTGCCCCGCTTCCGACTTTCATCAGTATTCACCAACCGTGCCCAGGTGTGCAAGGCTCAATTGTCTTTGCGCGAGATTTCTGCATATCAGACATTAGGTATGTACTCATTCTCTCATGTCTTTACAATCTCTACAAATTCATCCATCTCCGTTCCCGTCGTCTCTTTCTTGCCACCCGATCGAAAGTCGGCCTCAGACTTGTCCACATGCACCCATCCATGGATCTTATCAAGATCGATCTGCCCCGATCCAGCATCAGTATCAGATGATTGCATATTTCCCTAGTGAGCATCTGCTATCGTCTTGCGCGTTCTGCTATTGTGCCAGCATGATCAGATTTCATCGAGCCCAACGCTGGGCGCTGGTTGGTCCACTCGTCTTCACCTCCAGCGTTCACCTTCACCACCGTCATTCAAGCGAGCCCACAATAGAATTCCCTGATATTGTTTGTCTTTGCAATGAGGAGGCTGGGAGAGCATAAAAACTTTCCAATCGCTCGTCCTTGACTGTCTCTCGTCCATCACACTCCAGTTCTTCACAAGCCTCCACAATCTGCAAACCACCATCCGCCAGTTTTCTATATCTATTCAGAGACACTCAGTCGTCACTTCTTCTCTCTACATCACTCTATCCTATACCGCATTCACATCCATCACCATGACCATGAACGAGACCATTCGTATCATCGGCATGCTCAGGGCCTCTGCTGCTCAGAACGCTGACCAGGCCAAGCTCAAGGAGCGCGAAGTTTTCTTTGCCTCGGCCACCGAGACCCGCAAGAAGCTTAGGACTGCAGCAGCTGCCCGCAAGTCCACCTCCGTCTCTCTTCTTGAAGACCTCATCTACGCGACCAAGCACGGCGTACCCTACCCCAACGAGCCCCTGACGTACGAGGCCAAGGTCGCCGCTGATCGCATCCTCGTCACCCTCAACAAGGCCATTGCCCGTGAGACCATCCTCGTCGTCCCCAACGTCCAGCCCAAGGAGACCTCCGAGGACCTCGCCAACGACCTCGCTATCGAAAACAGCAAGCGCATCTTCACCGCGCGTTCCAACATCAAGGAACTCCAGCTCATCAGCAGCAACCTCGGCATCCCCATCACATCTCCCGCCATGGCTGGTCGCTTCCCGGTGCTCAGCACCTCTGACCTCCCGAAGGCATCCGCTGAAGAGCAGTCGGCCACAGCCTCGCCTGCACGCGGCACCGCCATGCTCAACAACATCTTCAAGTCGGTGCGAGTACCCGAGTTCCGCTTCAAGTGGATGTTCTGGGCAGAGAAGGGTCAGCAAGCCGCGCCCAAGGACAAGGCGGCTTCAGAAGAGTACCTCACCCGCCCCAAGCCGCTTGGAGACCAGATCGTCTCCGTCAAGGAGTTCTACCAGCACTTCAACAACATCCCGGTGGAGAACCTGAAGCTGCGAGACTCGATACACCTCTTCCACCTGGGTGTGAAGCCGGTCTGGGAAGACCCCCGGAATACGCGCGGCGGCGCATGGTACTTCAAGGTCAGCAAGGACGTGGCGGCGCAATTCTGGCACGAGATGTGCCTGCTTGCGGTTGGTGACGTCCTGCAGGGGGCTGTCGAGACCAAGCGTGCCTGTAAGTTTATTCCTCTCCAACATTTCACACGTATTCAAGACTAATCATCAACAGCCTTCAACGACGACATCTGCGGGATATCGTACAGCGTTCGCTGGAACGCTGTACAGATCGCCGTCTGGAACCGGGACGCGGAGAACGAGGATGGCCGTCAGAAGCTTCTGGCGGTCATCCTCGACAAGCTGTCAGAGGAGCTCCGGCCGAAGAAGGAGGACAGCTACTGGTACAAGGCGCACAAGGAGCACAAGGGCTTTATTGAGCAGTAGTGAGCCGACCTTGTACCGGTAGCTGTCGCTCGGTTGAGAACGAGGTGGTGGAGGAGCTGATGGATGAGGCGGGGAGTACGTAGACGGGCTTGAGCCACACATGTGCATATCAGCATCGGCGTTGATGAATACATCCTTTTCGACACGCACATGAGTGTCTTTGTTGATCCACAGAATGCCTTCTCCCTGATCTGACAGCCCCTCTTTCGTGACTTCCTCATACACGGAAGCGTACCAGGGTCGGGTAAGGGAACAATGCAACAGCCTGGACTATCTAATGAAGACGCCTCAACCCGCCGGCATGTTCTCGTTCTGCATCCGTGGTGGTAGTGTTTGCGCCAATCACGGGCATCGTTCGCCGCAGACGCTCGGACCATATTTCCAGTAGAAGCATCATCCACTTCTCACGATTCTCCGCATCTTGCCTGCCGCCGCCTCACCACACCAAACCCGCACAACCCGCCAACCATGGCCGCGATACCCACCTCCCTCTTCCGCTGGGTCGTTCCTGCCGCCATCGGCGCCAGTGTCGTGCAGAGCTCGCTCTACGACGTCAAGGGCGGAACCCGCGCCGTCATCTTCGATCGTCTGTCGGGAGTCAAGGAACAAGTCGTCAACGAGGGCACCCACTTTCTGGTACCATGGCTGCAGCGGGCAATTGTCTTCGATGTCAGGACGAGGCCGCGGAACATCAGCACTACGACGGGCAGCAAGGACTTGCAGATGGTCACACTCACACTGAGGGTGCTGCATCGCCCAGAGGTCAAGCAGCTGCCTAAGATCTACCAGGTATGTCTATGCCACCCCGCACTCGTGCAGCAGGCAGCTTGAGGAATTGCATCTAACGCGCTAGTAGAACCTCGGTCTCGACTACGACGAGCGTGTCCTGCCCTCCATCGGTAACGAAGTCCTAAAAGCCATCGTCGCCCAGTTCGATGCCGCCGAGCTTATCACCCAGCGAGAGGCCGTCTCGAACCGCATTCGCACCGACTTGCTCAAGCGCGCCAACGAGTTCAACATTGCCCTCGAAGACGTCTCCATCACCCACATGACTTTCGGCAAAGAGTTCACCAAGGCCGTCGAAGAGAAGCAGATCGCACAACAAGAGGCCGAGCGCGCGCGCTTCATTGTCGAAAAGGCCGAGCAGGAGAGGCAGGCCAACGTCATCAGGGCAGAGGGTGAAGCCGAGGCTGCCGACACAATTTCAAAGGCAGTGGCCAAGAGTGGTGACGGCTTGGTGCTGATCAGGCGCATTGAGACACAGAAGGATATTGCGCAGATGTTGGCGAGGAACCCCAACATCAGCTATCTACCCGGCGGTAACTCTGGCGGCAATGGCGGTGGTTCAAGTGGAGGCAGCTTCTTGCTGGGCCTGAGGTCATGAGCGTTTGAGGATGTGAAAGGTTGAGCGGAAGAGGAAAAGAAGATAACAAAGAGCTGGACGAAAGGCGAAAATGCATAGCCAGCGGGGTTGCTGTACAATATATTGACATGAGCATGATAACGCTTCTCTACAATCGAAGGCCGGAGTCTCTTCTCACCTCTCATTGTGTCTACACGTACCAGGCGTAGTGTCGGCTGGGAGGTTGTCTACGAATCATCCCCACTGTTTGCCCTGCTGACACTGTTTTAACACTATACAGCACCTATGCATCGAGCCGATCGATGCTCATTATTCAGCATGCTCCGAGAGACAGCAGCTTACACAACGATCGCAGAGAGAATAACGTACCAGTGTATGATCACGCGAAATATTGTCGCGAGAACTGAAATACCTCCTACACCTCGGCTCGTGTTTGACAAACCTTACCGCCTGAGGCCTCTCAGGTTTCGGTACACATCTCTCCGCCCAAAGATTCAAAACTTGTTCATGCATTGCCCGAGAGGAAACGGGCTTTCGGAAGCCGCGAGGCCGCACGTGATAGTTCGCATGCATGGTCTGCATTTGGCATCCGGATCTACACTCGGTGCGGACATGTTGCGATTCGGCAATGGGGTGTGGGGGTGTTTCGTGTGACGCCGGGTTATAGGCCTGGGATGCTGCTGTCCGGGAGGCGGATCACGTTGAGTCGGATCAGAGAGTTGGCGACTTGAAGTTGGGGGAGAGGGCCGCTCATGCCACGTGAGAGATAGATGGTATCGGAAGCATCCAACCACCGCAACTTCAATGCCTACATGTTTTCTTTTTCTCACATCACGTCCATAATCACCAAAAGCTTCGTCCTTATCGTTCGAGTCCTCTTTACCGATGATCAGCCGCAACCATCCCCAGCTATGAGACGTCATGCAGGATCTGTGTTCCACCTTGTTTCGGAAGGCCGCAACACCATCATGGCGGGGGGACTTCGTTACATCCTAGCCGCAGATCCCGAGGGATTCACAGACGTCAAGCGGTCAGCGATACTTTCCGATGGTCGCTGAACGTTCCGCATGAAGACGACACCGGTGCTGGAGGAATACAGGCTGTCTCTCAAGGCAACGACAAAACGATGGCGGTCAAACGACTGCAACACGGCACATTTGCGGGGGCCTGCCCACAAAGTGTTCGTGTAAGGTAGGAGAACCGCTGCGCCACGCTATTCACTCAATGCGTGACCTTGTCTTTTGCCAGGCTGTCCAAACGATAGGGTGGGAGAAGTGGTGTCGAGTCTGGCGTTGATGCCCCAGGTTATCAAGCGGCATTCTGTTGTGGCTGAGCACTTCAACAAGCCGGGAGCCAGCCAATCACGCCGCGTGTGGCCGTACAGCGTGGCTTGACGGTTTCCTCTCATCGAAGCAGGCTCACCGGCAGGCACTCTGCAATGTGCTCCGCCCTTGGATGATTCCAAGTATATACATGCTAGCTGCGAACGCGAGAGGCGAAGGTTGAGTACACGTCGTCTCTTCTTACGTCTTCGGACCGCCCGTCTCGCTTAGCAATGGCGATCCAGCAGCGCAACAAGCAAACGAGCATTATCCTCACCTTTAGAATCCTCCAATTTGTCAAACAGCTTCGTCGTCGTGTCAAGCCGCGTGTGCAGCATGGCTCAATCGATGCGAGCCCTCTTGGCATCAGCCTCGCGCCGAGCCTCCGAAGTGTCGCCCAGAATCTATCACGGATCAGCGTCCAGGATGCGAAGCAGTCGCGTCGCGTCGCCAATCGCATCTGCAAGAGTCAGAAGGGTGCGACGTTCACTCGACCGTCGCGCAACCTGCAGACGCCGGCTTCGGCTGCTCCCGCAAGTCGAAACCTAGGGAATGAGGTGCAACAGTACGTTCACGGAAGCTTTTGTTTAGTTTCAACTACTGAACCTGCGGGCCTAGTATGCTTCGCTACGTCGACGGCAAACTCCATGTAGCGGGAAACGCGTTCTCGTCTATCGCGGACAGCGACAGGCTCTTTCTCAAACACGACAACGCGTCGATCTTGGAGGCTCGTTCCATGAACGAAACTATCCAGCTCCTCGTGGCAGTACACGAAGCGATCAACGTGCTTGCGGGGTGTCGCCGGCAGTATGGTGACGACTGGCTCTTGGCCCAAGGGCTTGACCTCGGACTGATCCTTGACGAAAACTTCATTGCCAACTATGAACATCTACTGCTGCGGCTACAGACAGACCTAATCGAGTCCTTGGCACGCAAGGCTCTGGAGGAGTTGCTCTGCGGCGATCACGACAAGAGACAGCGCAAACTCCTGGCCTGGTTTACAGAGTTCGCTGAGAAGCCACAAGCGCTCAGCACCTTCCCATGGACTATCAAACCGTCGCTAGCCGTTCTGTGGGGAGTTTGCTGGATGTTTTACGAGGGAACTGGCAAAGACCGCGTGCCGTACAACAACGTGCTACACAACCTCAATCTGTCGTGGGATACCGATGCATCGTCAGACTGTATGTGTTACATTTCTTTCCGCCCGATGAGGCTTCTGCTCAGGTGGATGACTGGTTGCGATTGGTCGAGCGTGAAAACATGAAGAAGGTTTGTGGTTATCCCGATTGGTGCTAATGCATTGCAGACCTCAGCTTTGGCCAAGAGCTGATTGGCGAGCAGCCGCAGCATGCGACGCCTGCGACAAACGTCCATGTGGACCATGCTCCATTCCAGGCACGAAACACGGAAACCTGGGAGCCCGATCTGAGTTTGAATGGTCTTGCGGACAGGCTGCCAGTTCCAGTCCTGCGGGTTAGTCAGGCTGGAGAAGGAGCGGACCCAGAGCCGCGACCAGGTAAGTGCCTAGTGTCCCGTGTCCGTTTGAGTTGAGTCACGACTTCTCTGCCTACCCTGGGTTTCAGGCTGGACTTGTTCGCAGCTGCGACTAACAAATCCAAATCCAGATACTTATTATGGCGTATCCGCACCAACCTTCCAGGCAGTTCCGCCCGTTAATTTTTATTCGCCTCAAGATCAAGGCATTGCTGCGCCACCTCTAACGGCCTTTCCGCATCTGGGCTCCGACCACGAAATTCCTTGGCACTCATATACGTTGCCACCTCAAGACAGTCCGCGTCATCTGATCACTTCTACTCAAGATCCGAGAGTTAGAGTCACCGGAGCGGCGGGAAGCGATCTCTTTGCTCAGCCACAAACTGCCTTCGCGTCTCCCGGTATATATCAACCAAGCCGCCAGCCTCAGGCCCAGCAACACAGTTACAACCCTCAGTATTTCAACCTTGGATATCCAGACATCATGACTGAGCTTTCGCCAAACCCTACTTCCATGCAGGTGCCGCACGAGCACAAGCGGAACATTTCCATCAGCTCGCTCACCGATATGCCTACCCCGGTCAGCATGAGCGCTCGATCACCTATGACCTCTCCAACTGCTGGCGAACGACAAATCATCGTTACAAGCCCGCCCCGAAGCCACAGCAGGGGACTTTCTGTAGACTCTTCGCAAGACGGCGATGACGACGGATCACTACGGAAGAACCACAGCTACAAACGCGCCGAAGAACCACCGCGCAACGAAGACGGCAAGATGGTGTGCAAGTATCAAGAATGCCGCGGTACATCTTTTGACCGAAAGTGCGAATGGAGGTGAGTGATAGTATTCCCAGACTCACACGAACAGACACTGACGTTTACAGCAAACACATGGACAAGCATGACAGGCCTTACAAGTGCAACGTCAAGGGCTGCGAAAAGCTCCAAGGCTTCACTTACAGCGGTGGCCTTCTTCGCCACGAACGCGAAGTTCACAAGATGCACGGCGGTACCAAGAAGTCCCTTTTCTGCCCCTTCCACGACTGCAAGCGCAGCTCAGGCGCCGGCTTCACACGGAAGGAGAACCTCGCTGAGCATGTCCGTCGTGTTCACCGCAGAACATCAATGTCGGCAGATATGCATGGCTTGATCATCCGCCGCGACATGGTCAGGCGTGAGATGGAGGGGGGTTCTCCCATTCCTGAGTCACGCACCTCGGAGTCACCGTACAACCGCACCATGGACTACCGCGAGGAAGATGAGATGAGTCTGAAGCGCAAGCGACTTGGCTCTGACTCTGGCCTCTCGGACCGTGGTAACGATGAGATGCGCTCTGAGATCAAGCGCCTCCGACAGGAGAATGAAGAGAAAGACTCGAGGTTACGGCAGCTTGAGCAGGCAGTCATGGCTCTTCAACAGAGTCATAGGTGATGATGATAACTTTGCGTTGCTCTCACTCGATGCATTTTCCGGCGTTCTTCCGCTTAGCCTCATTCTCTGTTCCATAACTTCACTGTCGCTCACTGTACATATCACTTGAGCGTTTTTGTTTTCCCTGTAACACCCCTAAACTGTAATATCTCTTTACTACTTACGCACTCTACGCATGGCTGGCACATGTTCACCCACGATAGCTATGATACCAAAGACTGCGATGGAATGGGTTGGAAAGGGGAAGGAAGGGGGGATACGGACAGATGATACCTCGCTCAAATCTATAGATGGAATATGCCACTCTACACTATTGTACTGTAATTTAAAAGATAGAACCTCGACAGTCTCGCTCCTTCTTGCACTTTTCGTGATCTTGTCGTCTGCCGCGGTATGAGGTTGAGTTTGGCTTTTGGCCCCCAAAAACAATGCACACCTTAGCCTCGTTCGCAACGCCCCTGGTGCCTAGCAGGATTGCCTTACCCGCGATGTCTTACGGCAGAAGGGCGCGTGCACTAGCTGCCTAGACAGACGTTCGCATATGCCCAGGCAACCGTGCCGCTATCCATGCCGTTACGGGTGTGATATCCGAGTACGAGGTGCATCGCGAGAACCAGAGTATGCACTGCGTAGCATCACGTCATTTGCGCCCTAAAAAGTGCCTTCCACAGCTTCCGGCTTATGCTTCCCTCAAAAATTGTGATTACGGTTGTTGCCTTCTCGATGCGGTGATCCGACGGACTCCGAACGGACATTCGCCTTCTTAGTCACCAT